AAAAATTTTATAAACCTTTAATTTTTTTAATTTTACCAGTAACTATTCTCAATCTTGAAATGTTGTACATATTTTTTTAAACTAATTCAAATTTTTTTAAATTAAAATTTTGTAAAAGTGTTTCAAATTATTTCATATAAAAGTTTTAAGATTTTTGTAAGTTGAATTTTATAAAACTTAAATTTATTATTTTCAATCTTAAACCCTTTACCATGCCTTCAATATTTCTTGTAAGCAAATATCACTATAATCGCAAAATATATTCGTAAATCCCCTCCCTCGGCTTCGCTAGTATGACTTTACTACATTGCTATCAAGCTTCGCTCTCATTGAATGCAAATTTTCTTTCCAAGTCAGCACTTTCCTACAGGGTGTATTTCCATATAAATACACACATACCACATTTACTTGATATGCTATTTTGCCTATGCGGCGCAGTAAAACTTCACATGAATCATAATTGACGCCGTGACGCATAGTAGGCACGCGACACAACAACAGTCATGTAAAGCGTTTAGCTTACTCGCATTTAAGTCGGCCGACCACTCACCGGTTGGTTGGGAGCACACACTGCCACACTGCGATATATACACGCTTATTTACATATATACACATTAGTTAACTGTTTATTTATTTATGCATATRTAGGTGTGCATAGTATGTACAAATATTTGTGTGTAAAATTCTGTCAATAAATGCTAAAATCATTTGACGCTTTTCATTTCCAACTGTTTACCTTTAATTGAAACTGCAATTTGTTTAAATCGCGCATTTTATGTTTCCTGCACACACGTGTGTTTGTGTTAGTATATATGTATAAGTTTCTTATTATTTTTCTGGCTGTCCTTTTTGTTTATCCTTTCTTAAATAATCCACCACGTCTTTTGAAATGTGCATACATATATCTAAGCGTACATACATATGTATGTGTACTTATGTGTATGTGTATTTACATTTAACTCAAGCTAAATTTAGCAGTAAATTTTCGTTCAAAAATTTAATTCAACAAATTAAAAATAATGTGACATTCATTGTGACTTTAATTGGAATTATAAATTTATTTCATTTGACAAATTTACGCTATGTACTGTGTATGTATTATATACATTTTTTTTTGGCAAATGCATTTCTTTCGAAAGTATTCATTAACATGGAAAATGGATATATGTATGTATATTTTTTTTGCTCGTACTGCCAAGTGGAATAGCTTGGAAGGGCCTCYTATTGATTTTTAGCACTATATTGATTTATCACATAACAGTATCATAAGCACGCCAACTGATCAAATTTGACCCGGACTGACGAAACAGTTTGATAAGCATGCCAAATGATTAAAATGGACCCGGACTGACACAAAAAGCCCTCATGCTGATTGTTATCACTATATTGATATATTACCAACAGTATCATAAGCATGCCAACTGATCAGATATGGCCCGGATTGACATAAAAGCCCTCGTGCTGATTTTTATCACTATKTTGATAAAATTTGATTTGACCCGGACTGACAAAAAAAAACATTTTCATGTATTTGATRATATTATACAGATCATAAATTAAAAAGAAACGCCTCCAATAACCCCACAGCAATATTTTGACCTGCTTACCCCTTTTTGCAAAAATGTTTACATCCAAACATATCAGCTGCCAAACGATTAATACGATTTCTAAGTACCAAAACTTAAGCCATAACGTTTTGAAACTCAAATTGCAATAATTAGGCATTGAACTGCAAATAAACGTAAAGCAAATTCTTTATGTCATATCTTCAGGCGCRGCAGCTTCTTTTTAAAATAAAATTTATATTTTTTTATCTGTAAAAAAAATACAATATTTAATTTAATATTTTTTTGTTGTGGAAAAATGTTAATATCTTGAGCTCTCACTAAATTTCGCATTTTTTTAGCATATCTGCAGGCGCATACTTTTTATCAACTAAAATATATGTATTATTTTATTCTGTAAAAAAAAAATCAGTATTTTATTCATATTTSTTTTTTGTCAAAACGTCAATGTAATGAGCTCTCAATAAAATTTCTTATTTTTATAGTATATCTTCAGGCGCAACAATTTCTTTTTAAATTAAAATGTATGCCGTTTTACAATTCTGTAAAAATTAATTTTAAAATTATTAAATTTCGCATTTTTGTAGCATATATTTTAGGTGAAAAAAGCTGCGCCTTAAGATATATGTACATATGTATATACTTTAATTCTGTAAAAAATTCAATATATTTTTCATATATTTTTACTTACTATGTCAAAATGTCGATATATTGAGCTGCCATTTAATTTCTCATGTTTATAGCATATATTCAGGCGCATCAACTTTTTGTTTATAAATAAAAATTTGTGGAATTTACTACTCCCGTTTTCAATATTTTATTTACATACTACATTTATTTGTGTCCAAATGTCAATACATTGAGCTCTCACTAAATTTTGCTTTTTTATAGCATATCTTCCGGCGAATCAACTTTTTGCTTACAAATACAGGTTTGGTGATTTTATTAAATCTGTTTTCAAAACTTCATTTATATATATTTTATTGTTAAAATGTCAACATGTTGAGCTTTTACTAAATTTCGAATTTTTTAGTATATATTCATTCGCATCAACTTTTTGCACAAATTTCATGATTTTATTAATACTGTTTTCAATATTTTAATCATGCACATTTTTTTTAATGTCAGTATATTGAGCTGTCGCTTAATTTCTAAAGCCAAGGCAGCCTTTGCTTTATATTTATAAAAATTTATTTAAATATGTACAAATAATTTTTTTTATTGAATTAAAAAATAAAAATATATTATAAGCATCAAACCGTTGCGCTGCCAATTAGTTTCACATTTTTTAGTATACTATCAGGCGCATAACAGTTTTGTATAATAAATGGATT